GGAGAGATCGGCCAGGGGGGGGAGGGAGGGGGGAGGGGGAGGATGGAGGAGGGGAACGGGGGAACGGAGGGAGTCAGGCTACTCGGAGTCAGGCTGAGTCAGTGAGTCAGGGAGGGAGGAGCGGCTGGGGCGGTCGAGCGGGAGGAGAGAGCTGCTGCAGGAACTTGACTTGCCCGCCGTATCGCACCACATGTCCCAGACGTCGAACTTCTGGAGCCTGTGGACCAGGGCCTTGATGTCATCGAACATCTCGGGGTTTTTCATCACGCCACGCCAGTTCTTCTCGACCCAACGCCACATGAGGACCTACACTGTAGGTCCTACAGGCCGCAACACCAAAGCGGGATGACGGAGGAGGAGAGGAGGAGGAAGAGGAGGTGGAGGAGGAGGAGGTGGAGGATGAGGAAGGAGGAGGGAGGAGGGAGGGCCCCAGGGAGGGCAACCCCGCCCCCCCTCCCCTCGTCCTCCTCATCAGCATGACTCATCATCCTCCCACCTCTGCCGTCGCCTCCTCCTCCTCCTCCTCAGGGACTCCTCCTCCTCGTCATCCTCATCTCATCCTCCTCATCCTCCTCCTCCTTCTCGTCCCAGACAGCTGCCAGACAGACCCGATACGTATCGACGCCGTCACCATGCTTAGCAGTGATGCCGTGGCTCTCGGCATATATGGTCCACTGCTTCTCCATGACGAGAGCCTTCTTGCTCACCTCGATGAGACTCACGCGGCTGCCACCGTGGTGCGAGTTGTGGCGGCCCCGCAACCACTCGAAGACATCGGAGTACTCGATGGCACCTGTGAGACCCAAGGCGATGGTGGTTTTCACCTGCGGGTTCTCAAGCTGCTTCGTACACGGCAGCGGTAAGCGTGGCATTCGTGAGGGGCCGTTTCTTCTTAGGGTCATCAGGGCGCGACACGAAAAGAGGCTGACCACGGGCATAGTTGTGCACGCCTTCCTTGAGGACACCAGCGACGTACTGCTCGACCACGGCGTCCTGCTGGCGATGTCTGCACGGGTGCTTGGACAACAATTCGGTGGTACCGTCGGAGTCGAAATATTGCAGCGCGACTGTCTGCCCAGGAAACTTGCGAAAGTATTTGTCCACTTGCTGCTGCATCAGCAAGCCCCCAAACTGACCGAGGCGATCGTATACGCTCTTCCCGGGTGGCAACGGCGCCCACAAGATCCGAAGGGCCTTATCCACATCACGGGTCTGCACGTTGGGATTCTCTGTCCCTGCTGCTGTGTATGGCACGACTTCGCGAGAGCCAGTCTCACGAGACGCAGGACCCTCACCATCACCAGCGACCGCTGCGGGCGGCATCAGATCGGCGGCGGACAGCGCCAGGGACATGACTCGACGTCCGATGTGCGAGGAGGGCTAAACGGTCAAGCGCTGAGTATGCTCGCAGCTCATAGCTGCAGTGTGCAGCAACACGCCACAAACGGCTCGAGCAGAATGCCAACACGAGGGCTGGGTGATGAATTGGGGAGGAGGGGGTGATGTTCCTTCAACGGCGGCTGAGCTGGCTTCAAGCTCTGTCTAGGATGTTTCTTCAACGGCTGATGTGGCCCAGGGTCCCGCGTAGGAATTTCCTTCAACGGCAGAGGTGAGAGGTGGCTCGGGCCACGTAGGTTTTCTTTCAACGACGCAACGATAGGTGTGGTCGAAACGCTCTGTGTTGACTGTGTTCCAATGGCACAAGCAATCCAGGGCACGGACGCGAGCAGAGAGGCAGTCATATACGCATGACATCATCCGATCGCATGGCATCACCCGATCGTATGACACAAGAACGTGGACCAAGAACGCGAGCCAGTTCCCCGAGGGGCCCCAGGCCCCAGGCCACGGAACCCATGCAACGAAGATATTATCCCAGGGCAAAGCGAAGAACATAAGGGAAATGGCACTTGACACAAGGATACCCTCCCGAATTCGAGGAGGAGGATCTTAACCATCGCGCTGGTAAACCACCTCCCACCGCATCGTCATCGCTCGTCTTCTCCGTCGTATCCCCCTTCTCCGCCTCTGCCTCTTCCCCCTCGTCCGCAAGCATCCCCCCTCATCCTCATCCCTCACATCTCTCCTCCCTCTCATCGCCATCCTATATCGCTATGTCGCCGCGTCGCGCCGCCGCGAGGCGGCCCGCGGCCAATCCCAGCTCCTGCGCGCTGCCGCCGCGGGGGGCCGCCCCGCCGCATGCGTCGCCCCAGGCAGCGCCGCGGCGGCCTGGCGGCGGCGGCAGCGGGAGGGGGAAGGGGGAGGGGGGGGGGATGCTGAGGCAGGGAGGAGAGGAGAAGGGCCGAGAAGGAGGAGGCGGAGGAGGAGGATGAGAAGGGGGAGGGGGGGGGGGGGAGGAGGCGGAGGAGGAAAAGGAGGAGGAGGGGGAGGAGGAGGAGGAGGAAAGGGGGAGGGGCGGCGTTTTCCTGACGTTGTTTCTCGACACTGCGGGAATCGTTCAACCTTGATGATCTGGGGCAGCCCTGGGTTCATGGACGGGGGATTGCCTGGCATTGGCCCAACGTTGACAGCGTTGACAAACAAAGTGTGTCGAGCGATGGGCGGGTTGTAAATGCCAGCAACGATGATGATGTGACGCGTGATGCCAGCAATGATGATGATGATGATGATGATGATGATGATGATGATGATGATGATGATGATGTGACGCGTGGTGGCACGTTTCCTATGCACGGCGGAATGCTGCGAGAGCGCCGCGCGGCCGCGACGCCCGCGCCGCCCCACGGTGAGGATCGTCGCGCCACTAGGAGCCGCAGAACTGCCGAGGCCGCTGGCGGACCGCGAAAGGCCGCCACTGGAGGGCCACTGGAGGCATCTCCCAAGATCGTCTACGAAATGAGAGTGCCGGGCGCTGCCGCGACGCCCGCGCCGCACCGCCCCGCGACGCGGCTCGTCGCGACGCAGTGCCGAGCGACTACGAATGGTGTCCACTGCGTCCACGCGGGCTGCACAGTGAATTAGCTGGGCCCGACGGCGCCGACGGCAATGTGCTCGGTCGCGGAGGCGACGCGAACACGACGCATCGTTCTTTTTATCTCCTCCTATCCTCCTCAGGAACATCCTCATCCTCTCATCATCATGCGCCTCCCGTCCTCGTCGACGCGCCGACCCATGCGCAGCGCAGGCGCAATGTAAAGACGCCCGCCTAGAACGGCCGCCACGCCCCCCAGTAGCAGCACCACAGCGCATCATTCACCACACGTCGTCGTCAGAGATCAGGTGGTCCATGCGTTGAGTGAAGCCCAATAGGTAGATCAGCCCGACTGCTATCATGTTGACATTCATGGTGTCGCCACCCTGCTGCGCGAACTTCTCGCGGCTCCTGGCCCGCTCGCGAGTGAAGCTGCACACGTGGCCCGGGACTCCGCTTGCCAACTCAGACAGGATTGGCCACGTTGGGAAGCCAGCTGCACACATGAGCTCGCGAGGGGTAAGCCAGCGGCCGTGCTCATGCGACAGAAGAATGTGCACTTTCCTGATGATCGTCGGGAGGCGCTCGTCGTCATCGGACATGCGAGGGTGCTCGTCCGGATTTTGGCCGACCATGTAGCACCTGCCCGGGAAACTATCACGGTAGGTGACGTAGCGCCTCGCCTCCGCTTCGTTCAAGGCCAAGTCGAAGGCACGGCACTGGGGCGAGCTGAACACCAGGCCAGCTCGGCCAAGCATTCCTCCGCCCCCAGGTCGTACACGAAGTATTCCCTCCATGTGAAGCGACACACCCGTGTGAACATTGGGAGGATCGCAGCGAATGGCTGCAGCACCTCAACCACCTTGCGCCGATGGAGCAACGAACGGATTGCCCTGACGCGCTTGTCAGCCCAACCCAGCTCCGAAGAGCTGAGCTCAAAGCACGTCGAATCTGGATCGACCTGGTAAACCTGGTAGAGGTCTGCGAGCATATCCGCCGAAGCCTCTTGGGCGCGTGAGATGCTTGGCCCCTCCCTTACCCCTCCCCGGGGTCGGAACGGAAAGGGGTCGAGTCCGAAGGGGGCCCAGGCCCTCCTACTCCTCCTCCTCATCCTCCTCCTCCTTCTCCTGATCCTCCTCCTACGTCCTCCTCCTCATCCTCCTCCCTACGCCTCGTCCTCCCCCCTCCCTCCCCCCCCCCCCGTACCCCCCCCCTGCCTCCTCTGGAAGGCCCAGGGGGATCGGCGGCGCGGCGCAAGCCTCAGAGTCGTCGAACAACTCCTGCGGAAACTGAACGACGTTTTCGTGAAGGATGGTCGCAGGCTGTAGCAGACGCATGAGCGCAACCCATGCCACGGTGTGGACGATCGACTTGTCACTGGTCCCCCTCTGCGCGCCCTGCCGAGAGAAGGGCCGACAATTGGTGCCCGCCGTGTGGTGCTTGGTACCTGTGATGCGGCACTTGCGTCCGTGCACGACGCAATCGCCGAAAGGTTGCGCCGCGGAGCCCGTCGTGACCAGCTGCTGGAGCCAATCGAACTTCATGTCTCCGCGTTTCGCCTGGCGCTCCTGGCGCTGGATCTCTTTCTTGGCGGTGTCGGTGAAGAAAGACGAGATATCTCCAAAGATGCAGTGAGCTCGGGCTGGGTGCAATAGCAGCTCCTGCTGGCTCTCGTGCGCCCACTCGATCGCAAAGATGTGTTGGGACGAGGGCGGCGACAAGGATAAACCCAGCTTACATGCAACCACTTTGGAGATGATCATCAAAGCTGTCCCAGGGGAGTCCACGCCTGAAAATGCCGTAGATCCGCTCCGCCCGTTAGCACGGAATGGGCGTGCCCCCGCGACGCCGCCCCAAGCCTCACAGGAACCAGGAACCATCACGGAGAGGAGGGGCCCTCGGGGCCTGGCCGGGCCTGGTCCCCGGGTCCCCTGGCGGCCGAGCCGTGCGCACCATCCGAACCGATGCGTCGGGGCATCTTCTTGAGTGTCGGGAACGGCCGCAGGCCATCTGACACAGACGTCCGCTCAATGGACTGAGAGAGGCGCCCCAGTGCCTCACGCGCGACGGCGTCGCCCCACTGTCTCTGCATCGCCTCGACGAAATGAAACATCCAGCGATGGGCCTCACCAAGTGACCGTACCACCTGCTTGCCGTTCTCCAGCAGAATACCCATCGTCTCGATCGCTGAATCAATTGGATGATCCGACACAAGATCGATGACGCCCAGCGGCTGCTGCGGCGGCGGTGGAACTGTCGGGGGGGGGTCGCAGCAGCCATCGAGGCCTCCATCCACTCGCTCGCGTCGTCGATGCGGTCTGCCATGTTCAAGAGCAGTCTCGGACCGTCGATGAGGCGTGCGGGGCTGAGGTCGATACTCACACGCGTGGCACTGGTGGCACGAGAACCGCTCGGCAAGGCGGTGTTCGGAGAATCCCAGTTGATGATGCAGTGGTCATCACTATCGTCACCGTCAGCAGCCGCATGAGCATCACGAACGCGTGAGTCTCTCCGCAGCGGGGCAGCGGGCGGATCAGCCACAGCCGCAGCGGGTGCGGAGCTCTCAATCACAGCAGCAGTGACCAGAGGAGACGAGCACGTGGCCGCGGCGCGAGCAGAGCCATCAGCCGCCTCGCCTGCAGCCACCACGGCGTCAGCGCCAAGCGGTGTGCCCGCGCCGTCGATGCAGTCGTTGCCGCCGAAGAGTTCTTCGTCCAACCTTGTCAGCTCCTCAGGGCTCAGACCCGCCGGGCGCTTAGCCGCGGCCGCGTCCGCCTGCGATGTCGCACTAGCCGCGGCCACCGACGCACTGGCAGGTGAGTGATGACGAGCACATGGCAGCAGTGCCATCAACAACCTTCTCCACCTCCTCGTCCTCCTCAGCCTGCTTTGCCAGCTCTGCCACAACCGCGCCGTCGGCCGCATCCTCCGCGCCATCAGCCGCCTCACCCGCAGCCACCGCGGCGTCAGCGCCAAGCGTAGTGCCCGGGCCGTCGACGCAGTCGTCGCCGCCGAAGAGTTCTTCGTCCAACCTTGTCAGACCCGCCGGGCGCTTAGCCGCGCCTGCCTGCGATGCCGCACTAGCCGCGGCCAGCGACGCACTGGCAGGTGATGGCGAGCACGTGGCAGCAGTGCCATCATCAGCCTTCTCCACCTCAGCCTCCTCGCCCTCCTCCTCCTCAGCCGCCCTCGCCGCCTCAGCCTGCTCCGCCGCAACCGCGCCATCGGCCGCGTCCTCCGCGCCATCGGCCGCCTCCTCCGCGCCGTCAGCCGCCTCCTCCGCGCCATCAGGCGCAGCCGCCTTCTCCACCTCAGCCTGCTCAGCCACAACCGCGCCAACAGCCGCGACAGCCGCCTCCGCCTCCTCCTCTGCCTCAGCCGCGCCATCAGCGCCATGGCGAGCAGCGCCATCAGCCGCCCCCTCGCCCTCCGACGCCGCGTCTGCCCGAGCGTCGGCGGCGGTAGCACCCGCGACATCCATCCCGTCGGCAGCCGCCGACGGCTCAGTCACCCGCGGACGTTTGGCAGCTGGCTCGGGCTCGCTCTCGCACTCATCCGTCTCCGAAGCCGAAGCTGCAGCGGAGCCAACCTCAGACTCCTCCAGCGTGGGTAAGAGCTCTACGGAGGAAGCATTCTGCGCGGCTCGCTGCTGGACTGAGATGCAGCGCTGGCAGCCAGCGGCTGAAAAATTCACCCAGACGCGGCCGTTCGACATGTTGAAAGCCTGGACCGCCAGCGGCGGGTTGGTCACCTGTTGTGCGCTCGCCGTATGGGAAACGTACTGAGTGGCAATGCGCTGCCTCATGTTGAGGCCCAGAATGCAAGTGAAACAGTTGGTTTTTCTCAACCAGATTTCTGGTGATCCACCCCTGCGTGGGTCACCTGTTGTGCGCGCGCCGTATGGGAAACGTATCGAGTGGCAATGCGCTGCCTCATGTTGAGGCCCAGAATGCAAGTGACACAACTGGTTTTTCTCAACCAGTTTTCTGGTGACCCACCCCTGCTTGGGTCACCTGTTGTGCGCGCGCCGTGTGGGGAACGTATTGAGGGGCAATGCACTGACTCATGTCGAGGCGCAGAATGCAAGTGAAACAGCGGGTTTTTCTCAGCCAGTTTTCTGGTGATCCACCCCTGCGTGGGTCACCTGTTGTGCGCGCGGCGTGTGGTAAACGTATTGAGGGGCAATGCACTGCCTCATGTTGAGGCCCAGAATGCAAGTGAAACAATTGGTTTTTCTCAACCAGTTTTCTGGTGACCAACCCCTGCGTGGGTCACCTGTTGTGCGCGCGCCGTGTGGGAAACGCATTGAGTGGCAATGCGCTGTCTCATGTTGAGGCCCAGAATCGAAGTGAAACAATTGGTTTTTCTCAACCAGTTTTCTGGTGACCCACCCCTGCGTGGGTCACCATGGGTCACTGTTGCGCCCCGCCCCTGCGTGGGTCACCTGTTGTGCGCGCGGCGTGTGGGAAACGTATTGAGGGGCAATGCACTGCCTCATGTTGAGGCCCAGAATGCAAGTGAAACAGTTGGTTTTTCTCAACCAGTTTTCTGGTGACCCACCCCTGCGTGGGTCACCTGTTGTGCGCGCGCCGTGTGGGAAACATATTGAGTGGCAATGCGCTGTCTCATGTTGAGGCCCAGAATGCAAGTGAAAGAATTGGTTTTTCTCAACCAGTTTTCTGGTGACCCACCCCTGCGTGGGTCACCATGGGTCACCTGTTGCGCGCGCGCCGTATGGGAAAGGTACTGAGTGGCACGGCACTGCCTCATGTCGAGGCGCAGAATGCAAGTGAAACCCCTTTGTTTTTCTCAACCAGTTTTCTGGTGACCCACCCCTGCGTGGGTCACCTGTTCTGCGCGCGCCGTGTGGGAAACGTAATGAGTGGCAATGCGCTGCCTCGTGTGGAGGCCCAGAATGCAAGTGAAACAACTGGTTTTTCTCAACCAGTTTTCTGGTGACCCACCCCTGCGTGGGTCACCTGTTGTGCGCGCCGTATGGGAAACGTATTGAGGGGCAATGCGCTGCCTCATGTTGAGGCCCAGCATGCACGTGAAGCAATGGCTTTTTTCTCAGCCAGTTTTCTGGTGACCCACCCCTGCGTGGGTCACCTGTTGTGCGCGCGGCGTGTGGGAAACGTATTGAGGGGCAATGCATTGTCTCATGTAGAGGCGCAGCATGCAAGTGAAACAATTGGTTTTTCCCAACCAGTTTTCTGGTGACCCACCCCTGCGTGGGTCACCTGTTGTGATATGTTGTGCGCGCGCCGTGTGGGAAACGTATTGAGTGGCAATGCGCTGCCTCGTGTGGAGGCCCAGAATGCAAGTGAAACAATTGGTTTTTTTCTCAGCCAGTTTTCTGGTGACCCGCCCCTGCGTGGGTCACCTGTTGTGCGCGCGCCGTATGGGAAACGTCTTGAGTGGCAATGCGTTGCTTCAAATTGCTTCATGATGAGGCCCAGAATGCAAGTCTCCTCCTCCTCCTACCTCCTCCTCCTCCCCCCCCCCCTCCTCCTCCTACCTCCTCCTCCTCATCTTACCTCCTCCTCCTACCTCTCCCTACCTCCTCCTCCTCCTCCTCATCCTCCTCCCCCTCCTCCTCCTCCTCCTCCTCCTCCTCTGCAGCTCCTACCTTCTCCTCCTGCCTCCTCCTCCTCCACTTCCTCCTCCTCCTCCTCCTACCTCCTCCTACCTCCTCCTCCTACCTTCTCCTGCCTCCTTCTACCTTCTACCTCCTCCTACCTCCTCCTCGAGGATGCGGGCGGCGCCAAATGGCAGATGACCGAGGGCCGCGGCGTGCTGACCACGCCGGGGGACAGGCTGGAGGATCTGAAGGCCCTGCACCAGGGCAGGGTTGGCTTGGATGAGGATGAGGACGAAAGCCTCTTCGTCTTCGTCGTCCACCTATCTCCTCCTCCTCCTACCTCCCCCTCCTCCTCCTCCTCCTACCTCCTCCTACCTCCTCCTCCTCTTCCTCCTCCTACATCCTCCTACCTCCTCCTCCTCCTACCTCCGCACCACCGCCCACTAGTCCGCGGATAGAGAAATCAACGCCATGGTAAGGGATGGGAGGGAGGGGTAGGACGTCAGATATGACGCGCGCGCACCTAGCTTGTCCTCCTCCCCCTCCGCCTCCTCCTCGTCCTCCTCCTCCTCCTCCTCCTCCTCCTCCTCCTCCTCCTTCCTCCTCCTCCTCCTCCTCCTCCTCCTCCTCCTCCTTCTCCTCCTCCTCCTACCTCCTCTTCTCCACCTCCTCCTCCTCCTCCTCCCCTCCTCCTCCTCCTCCTCCTCCTCCTCCTACCTCCACCTACCTCCTCCTCTTACCTCCTCCTGCCTCCTCCTACCCTGTACCTCCTCCGACCTCCTCCTCGAGGATGCGGACGGCACCGCATGGCAGATGACCGAGGGCCGCGGCGTGCTGACCATGCCGCAGGACAGGCTGGATGACCTGAAGGCCCTGCACCAGGGCAAGCTTGGCCTGGACGTGGATGAGGACGAAAGCGTCTTCGTCGTCCACCTATCTCCTCCTCCCCCTCCTCCTCCTCCTCCTCCTACCCCCCTCCTCCTCCTCCTCCTCCTCCTACCTCCTCCTATCTTCTCCTACCTCCTCTCCTCCCTCCTCCTCCTCCTCCTCCTCCTCCTCCTCCCCCATCGTACCTCCTCCTACCTCCCCCCCTCCTCCTCAGGCGGCCAAAGCGTCCTCCTGCTGATGCTGTTGCCGCTGGTTTTTGCTTTTCCCGACCCATGTTTGCTAGGCAATTATGTTTGAATATGTTTGACACTTCTGGGGTTTTCCTCCTCCTCCTCCTCCTCCTCCTCTACCTCCTCCTCTACCTCCTCCTCCTCCTCCTCCTCCTCCTCCTCCTCCCAGCTCCTTCCTTCTCCTCCTACCTCCTCCTCCTCCTACCCTGGAGACTCCTCCTTTACCCCCCCCTCCTCCTCCTCCTATCCTGAAGACTCCTCGGGTTTCAGGGTCCGTGGAGGGCGTTCGAGGGCGAGTTGGGAGCGCATGGCACACGAGATCGCTGTCGCCTTGGGGTGGCCTGAAGTTCGCGGACACCCCGAACGGCCTCGGCGCTGTCTCCATGGCTCCCGCGGCAGGCTGGTTGCAGATCGTGGCCTGGTGTGCGTTCTGCTAGCTGTCCGAACCAGTCCCCTGACACTGCTGCCCCGTCCTCGTCCGCCTCCTCCCTCATCTTCCTCCTCCTCTCTCCGTCGTCGTCCTCATCCCCCCTTCCCTCTCCTCCCTTCTCATCCTCTCTTCATCCTAGTCCTCCTCCCTCCCTCTCTCCTCGACCCTCTCCCCCGCGTCCTTCCTCTATCCCCCCCTGCTCCTGCGATCCCCCCTTTGCCCCTGCTGTCTTCTTCCCCATCATCCCTCCGACGCCGCCCCCTCATTCATCCTATTCTTCCCTTCTATGTGGCCCTCGTCTTCCTTCTCCCCCCGCCCTCTTGCTTTTCTGACCCCTCTCATGCCTCCTATGCCTCCTGTCCTTCCTCTCCCTCATATCGGATATGAGGGATATGACATATCCCTCTGATCCCATCTGTGCCTCTCATCCCTGTGATCCCTCCTGTGCCTCTCATCCCTATTCATCCCTGTGATCCCTCCTGTGCCTCATGGTCCTCCTCCTCCTGCCCCCCCCCCCCCCCCCCCCCCCTCCCCCCCTCCCCCCCCCTCCTCCTGCCCAGGGGCCCAGGACCAGCCTGCGCTGGAGTGGGCGGGGTTGCGAAATTATCTTGATAATTTCTCTAGCTCATCTGGCGTTGCGCAGTGTAACAGGATCCTGGGGGGGCAGGGTCGTGGAAAGCCCTCCCACCTCTTCCCGAGTCCTCCCACCTCCTTCCTCGTGCCCCCGAGCCCTCCTGCATCATCCTGCCTCCTCCCACGTCCTCCCACCTCCTCCCACGTCTTCCCACCTCGCCCCACCTCCTTCCACCTCCTCCCACGTCCTCCCGGGCCCGCCTCCTTCCACCTCCTCCCTCCACCTCGCCCCACCTCGTCCTGGTTGAGCCTCTCCGTTGTGTGCCCTATGCCCAATGCCAACAGTTGGGCAGGTCGTCGTCATTCGTCGTCGTCGCCAGTCGTCAGTCGTCAGTTCTCGGTCGTCCGTCGTGGTTGTCGTCGTCGTCGTCGTCGTCGTCGTCGTTGTCGTTGTCGTCGTCGTCGTCGTCGTCGTCGTCGTCGCCGCCGTCGCCGTCGTCGTCTTATTTCGTCGTCGGTCGCTGGCCCTCGGTCTGCGCCGCCGCCGTGCTTCGCCATGGGGGAGGGGGGTCCTGAGGGAAACGTGCCCTGGAGTTGTTCCGCAGTTTTCACGCTCAAGGGCTCTCGGTGGGTCCAGGGATCGTCGAGAAACGAGTAGTAGTGGTAGTAGTAGTAGTAGTAGTAGTAGTAGTAGTAGTAGTAGTAGTAGTAGGACTCGTAGTAGTAGTAGTAGTGGTCGTAGTAGTAGTAGTAGTAGTAGTAGTAGTGGTAGTAGTAGTAGTAGTAGTAGTGGTGGTGGTGGTCGTCGTCGTAGTAGTAGTAGTAGTATGAGTATTAGTAGTAGTAATAGTAGCAGCAGTGGTAGCAGTAGTGCTGGTGGTGGTGGTGGTAGTGTTAGTGGTAGTGGTAGTGGTAGTAGTAGTGGTAGTGGTAGTGGTAGTGGTAGTTGCAGTGGTAGTGGTAGTGGTAGTGGTCGTGGTAGTGGTCGTGGTAGTGGTCGTGGTAGTGGTAGTGGTAGTGGTAGTGGTAGTTGTAGTGGTAGTGGTAATGGTAGTGATGGTAGTAGTGGTAGTAGTAGTAGTAGTAGTAGTAGTAGTAGTAGT